GAGTTAATGTAAGTGCAGTGAAGGGTGGTGAAGTTCATGGCACAGCTAATCAGGACACAAGCAATAAAGATGCATACCATGGCAGGGTCCTTCCACCCCGGGAAGGACCAGACGTTGATGGAATCCATGCTGGCAAAGGAGCAGATGATGAGAAAAGGGGTGGCTGAGACAGCGATGGCATACTGAGCTGTCAGGGGTCCRTATTCACTGTCTACACTGGTTTTCTGAATGAGCACCAGGTAGGCAGCRTGTATCAGCACAGCCAGCACGCCTGTCACATAGCCCATAGCATCCCCAGTCAGGTCACCAGCTCCTGTCAGGACAGCCACAGAGAGAGAGAAGCATAGGTGTTGCATGAGAGACAGAAAGAGAGCACTGCTTTGGACTAGAGGGCTATTTAGGAAATAGGCATCATTGCACTTTCCATAACCCCTAGGATTTGTCACGCTTGTCCCAAGTCTTGCCTCCAGATATTGCAGATATTGCTTTTTTTTTTTTTTTTTTTTTTTTTTTTGTAAGCTGCGAACTTATTGAATGTCTTTCACACCCCCTCTAAATCTCACAGCCAAAATCAGATTGCCTTTTCCTTTTTGCGAAGACACTGGAAGATTTAAGGTGAAACTGCACACAGCAATCCTGAGCATCCTTTTGCCAWCACAGACACAATCCAGCTCTGGCTGGCCAGGCTGCCTGTCCTCAAACCCACTGGCCCTGCTTCACCCTCTAGCAACGGAGCTCTGTGGGGTCCGTGAAGCGACAGCGACCCTGCTGAGCCCCCTGCCAGCCTCTTCGCAGATTAAACTACAAACTGTGCATGTACTCTGCAGTCTGAGGCAGCCCCCAACCCAGGAGTACTGTCGGGCCACAGAGTGCCAGCTTTGCCTCCCACTCCACCTACATCTCGACTGGAAAGCAACACGGGTCCTCCTGGCCCCAGAGGGCTGCAGCTGGCCCCTAAGCCTGCACCTGCCCTTATAAGATCACACTTGCCCCAGTAGGGCTGCAATTGCCCCATGGGCTTGCAGCTGCTCCCAGAACATTACATCTACCCCTGTAGATGCACCCGCCTTCCATAAGCCTACCCTTCCCCCCATAAGGTTGTACCTTCCCTAGAAGGGTTGCAATAAGGTTACACCTACTCCCACAGGTTTATACGGACCCCTTACGGACCATAAGGATGCACCTATTTCCAAAAGGTTGCAGCGAGCCCTCTAAGAATGTACCAGCCACAGCGGGGCTGCATCGACCCCTGAAAGGCTGCACTTTCCCGCCCGTGAGGCTGCACCTGCCCCCGTGGGGTCGCAGCTGTCCCCAGGACTGCACGGCCCGGTACCCTCGCGTCTTTCTCCTCGGGCTGGCGCTGCCTGCCCGGTCCCGCTCCCGAAGTCCAACCGGAGCGGCCACCACTGCGGCCGCCCGTCCCGTCCCGTCCCGTCCCGTCCCGTCATGTCTCGTCCCGCCGCATCCCGCTGTGCCCCGCCGCGCCCCCTTCCCCCGGTGCGGTCGCTGTCGCGGTCGCACTCACCGGCCAGCGCGGCGCCGCAGGTGGTGATGAGGACGGCGACGAGGACGCCGGGCGAGGGCATGCCGTCGCGGAGCACCAGGGCGCCGGTGACCAGGGTGACGAGGGGAAGGCAGCGCTTGAAGACGACGTACATGGGRAGGCTGAGGCCGCGCAGAGACCAGAGCGTGAGGGTGGACTGCAGCGTGGCCAGGGCGGCCACGGCGGCGAAGGGGCGCGCCAGGCGGGGCCCGAAGGGCGGCAGCGCCGCCAGCCCCCGCCGCCGCAGCGCCTCCAGCCCCAGCGCCGCCGCCGCGCTGCTGAGGCACTGCAGCAGCGTCAGGAAGGCGAAGTGGTAGCGGGCCAGCAGGAACTTCAGCAGGATGTTCAGCGAGCCCGAGCACAGCCCGTGCGCCACCGCCACCGCGACGCCCCGCGCCCGGCC